ATATAAGGGAAATGATACGAATCAAAGGATAGTATGATTTATGAACAGAATGTAGAGATAAGTGGAAAGAAAAACGCCAGACGATATGATCAGAAGCTTAAGACGTATCTAGAAACAAATTTTATCAAATACTTTATGCTGTAATTCTAGAATAATAATCACAGAAGAGGATACACAGGGATATGCTCGCATCCACACAAAGATATAGCTAAGAGATACTAGAATACAAAACTTGACGTAGTCAAATAATCAGAATCATACAAAAGGAAAAACAGAATATAATGAAAACAGCTGCAGACTGTGTGTAGAACCATGAAGATTGTGTGTGGAACCATGAAAGATGAACATTTGTATATTACATCACAAACTCACAATAATTAAAGAAAATGAAAACCTACAACTACCACATTAATAACTGAATATTAATGTGTAGTGAACTCCAGGTTTACCCAAAATTGGACACTTTCCATCTAGACGTCATTGTCGTCCCCCGCATCATCTGCTTCTTCAAAAATGTCCTCAAAAGTTTCATCATCTCCAGAAACACCAGCTGTCTCATCCATTTCCGGTACCAAAAAGTATTGCAAAGGATTTGGCCACAGGTCATCTTTGATCAGCTAAATAAAGCTATGAAGTGGTAAGGCATCGCGATACATGATACAATTAAAGACTGAAGTAAAAAAGCTGCATCTGAACCATTAGATTTTTTTGGATTGAGTTTGAAATCAATTGACCTCCGAAAAAAAATATTAAAACTACTTCAGCAATTTCATCGTTACTTGGATCCTGATTGTCCAACAACCAAATAAAAAATGAACGATACGTCCCAGTACTATCGTCTCTGACCAAACTTTTGGCTTTCATTTGCACCTGAGAATGAAATAAGTTATTCAGCGTTTCAAGAATAGAGCCTTCATTCAGGGAAACAAGAAGAAATTACAAACTTTATTAAGAAGATCGTTATTCGGTTTCCAGTTTATTACAGTTGTAGTACTTGTTGGCTCAAAATCCCCGAGAAAAAACTCTTTAACAAGCTGAGTATTCTCAAAAAAAGGATTCTCATCAAAGGTCAATTTAATTCTGTATCCGGACTTTATGTCATCAAACTCTTCTACCTGAAACAAACAAGCATAAGCCAACAACTTGTCTTAATAACAAACTCATATTATGCACAAAAAAACCTAAAAAGATCAAGAGACAGAATGAATGTTTATTTCAATAAATCATGCACCTCACATGCTCAGATCAAAACAGCATTTGTTTCAATCTTTCAGAAAAGTTTAAAATAGAAGCACAGCAATCTATATGAAACAAACCTCAAGTACAGTGAGATAGTGCAAACATTCCTCCTCCTCTTCATTTAGTATCCGACTAATTGTGGGGTGATTCACAATCTGCAATTTACAATTTACTGTGAATCATTAGAAAATCTGAAAAACTCAAAACAAATGAAGAAAGCTGTAGACATGAATACAGCGCCCTACTTCAACTGAAACTATAGATAAATGAAAAACGAATTTTTTATGACACGCATATATTTTGAAAGAACTCACTGCTGTGACCCAAAAATTTGGAATGTCCCGAACAAGATCATTACGTTTGTCAAAAAATGGCTTTCGAAGCGAATTGTATTTCTGTTCAACCTTTAAAAGATGTCTTTAATCTTCTGAATTTTAAGTCAGCATACAAACGATAAAGACTAGTAGACTTGAACTTACATTAGCCGTATACAAAAAAAAACATGAATAACGCAATAAAACCACAAATGAAATGAAAAGAGAATTTGTTCCAAAAACTCCCCACGAAAACGAGTTTAACATACAGCGATAACAGTGGAAGAACATCTCTAATAATTTTAAACTCAAATTGCTTTCAACGTTTCGATATCACAAACCATTCAAAAACTGGCCTTTAATATTTCCTCACTTGCTTTTTCATTCAATGAATCTATTTCACTTTGTACTTGATCAATTTGCTCCAATATTTTTTGTGTGGCAGTATCATAGTCACCCATCTACAATTACAAAATCACGGAGAATCAAGGTGATATTCAAATTACTGCAAAGAAGTTACGATACGTTTAATGATATTGTGGAAACAGTAACGTAACAAAGATGCATGTGACCAATTCTGAAACTCTTCACATCCTAAGTATACTCATGTCAACAAAAGTATCAACAACTCTTCAATACATGACAATTTGGAGACATATTCTAAATGTAGAAATCAAAATACGGTAATAGCCTCAAAGGGTTACTGTACATAATATTACTATTTTTTCAAGCTTCTCGATAATTTTTCGAAATATACATCCCTGATCTTACGCCTGCGAAAATGGCTCCTCGAAAAAATTCAGAAAGATTTTTCGCTTGAAAAAACAGATGTATATGATACTTTTCAGAAAACCTCAACATGTCCTTGTTAGATGATAAACTTTAGTTCCAGCTTATATAAGATTTACATGATCCTGCTATTCGAACTATTAAAAACATGATCCGGAAAAAAGTGATTTCCAAGAACTTATTATACTTCTAATCATGGCAAAAATACTTAATACTACTTTAATATTGATCGCAGAATAAGAGTAATGGACTCTAAATAAATACTAAGAGACATCAAAACTCAGGTAAAAATATCGAGAAAGTTGAAAGGAAAAATATACTAACTTCAAATTTAAAAGTTAAACAACCTTTACAATATCTCCATTTTTTTCCATTTCCGTCTTTGGCCGCTTTGGAAGTGGCTCAGTCATTTCCAACAATACCCTTTTCTTGATAAGTTTAAATGATGAGCCAATCGATATAGCTCACTAGAAAAAACAACACAATACTATGTTTGCCCAAAATTCCTAAAATACCGACTGACTACAAAGTAACCTTGAAGAACAATGTTAGAAATGTCCTGAACACACTCTATAATTTTACTATAATGTTCATTTTAATCGTTATCCTCCATCAATAGCAAAACAATTTCAATAAAGATCAAAGTCCCAAAAACTACTTCCTAGAAGCTTCAACTCCATACCACTCAATACTAACCCAATTATTCATCTGACATAAATATGAAAGAAAAGCAAAATATATTCATGAACTGATTACGTTTACCAAATCAAACAACGTAGCCTAAGCGTCCTAAAAACGGGTGCACACAATTTAATGAAGCCCATTTTTCTGATCAGGTTCGCATTGCAATAGAATTGTTTCGAGCACTGTGACAGAAACACTCTATACTTGTGAGTGGACTGAAAGTATACGAATTAAGCAAAAAAGCTTCGGAAGCATAACAAAAGCACGAATAAGTTTGAAAACTGAGAAGAGTTATAACATCCGTGACATGACATCGCACATCTCCGCCATCCTGTAAACTTATCCTTCTAGCCTATCACGACCTTTCACGCAAATCTTGACCTCCTCTTTTCACTTAGTTATCTTTCCCTACCTCTCATTCTGTCCTTCTCCTCCCTATTGGTAACTTATTTATTCAAATCCAACTTTCCTGTCCAGGCCACAAGCAGCGTATTTGACATATTTCCGATGTGCTGTTAATGTGTCTTAAAACGAATGTTTGAAAACAGTAAATAAAATTGGCACCGTCCCAAATCACTTGCTTGTCAGCAAAGCATTGATATCAAGGTCTATTTATCTGTGTTGCGATTCAGGTCGTCACTTTCTTTCCAGTTGGGAATGTTAGGGATTTTTATTCCTCACGTGTAGAAGGTCGGAAGTGATGGGCGTTGTAGTCATTTATAGCAGTAGTATCCGAACATATATTATAATGAACTTTAGAACTCAGAATTGAGAGAAATTGTTAGAATGATTGTTGCAATGCAATTCACATTTCAGTGGTATGCAGATTTTCTCGCACCATCTTATTTATATGATAGATAAAAGCAGCAACTTTATTGCTCCCAAACATTTCACGCTACTGCATTAATCTGGAACGGTTGTGCTTTGCGGATGTTAGTTCTAATTCACACAGTTGAATGAGGTTATTAGATGATGAAGCAGATCTCTCAGGGACTACAGTCGGTTTCTCGCGGTAGAGTATTATATACCATGCACATTTTTCATGTGGACAGGTGTTCCGTATATTCGTAAATATTTGATTTATCGTTGGGGGGAATTTACGTCTCTCGTTTTCTTATTGTAATGCAGTACCAAATAATTGCACATTTTTCATGAACGGTTGCATACTGTGCCTCACTGTTTAAGATGTTCTAATAATGCTGTTGATTCATCACAATTGTTTCTAATATGCAGTTTATCAGCTGAGTCTGAGGGTGCACAATGAGTGAACAACGTAACATTAAACCTTCAGCAGAAACACCTAAGGTCTGCATTTGTTTATCGTTCTCATTTTCATAGCATAACTAAATGTGTCTTATTTGTCTTGTTGATCCATTTACAGTTATTTGTTTTACATTGAGGAATTCATTCCTTTGACTGGGTAAAACAAAGACAGTATATAATGTTTCAAACTGCACATATTTCATCAATCCATCGAGAAATTGACTTATTCCATTTTTCCACTGCAGCCAGATGGGCAAAATCGTACAGATTTTCTTTACCGCTGTCCACCACCACCACAACCTCCATTTGCCATGGAAAAACGTGGACCTGTTACGCCTCCCGAATCGAGTGATATTTCGCCTACAACAAATATCGCTGTAAGCTTAATGTTTTAGGTGCCCATTACAGTTATATCTAGCTATAGTTTTGCCTAGTTAAAAGTTTGTGTCATTTATTACTTATAGCTAAAGCAATTCATATTATTTATATTTTTTAGGCAGTGGTTCAGTCTCGAGGTCTTGTGAGTGACTTGACAGGTGTCGCCCCAAGCCAACCATTTTGTTCAGACCGGTTAATCAATTCTTATCATCTTTAAGCTTTTTTACTAAGACAAAAATACATATTCAACTTCTCAGAAACTTAATACTAATAAATTACTTTGAGAGTAATACGTCGTGGTCCTCGCACTCCACCGTATCCTCCAAAATCTCCTCAGTCTCGATCTCCATCGCCCGAAATCACGGATAAACCTGATTTAACATTTGCAAGGTCTAAGCCAACGATAGCAAGTGATAGAAGTTCAGTAGTAGTATTGCCTACGGTCAATTTATGCAAACCCAAATATCCAGGAAATGCAAATCCTATACGATATCCAGGTTTGTTTCTGTTTTCCTAAACAAGCTTATTTAATTTAGAGGTGAAATTAGTTTATGAGCAAACGCAGAAGTTTAGTGTGGAAATTAGAAAAATTGATCCACATACACCTGCAGTTCTTTATATCATACGCCATCACGATTTCGGCCTGTGGTTTATAATCTCCTAATTCAAGGGAGCAGTGGTGCTTCACAAGTAGCTTGTTTTGGTTCCGTATCTGGCCTACCTATGAAACTTTTTCCTATGATGCAAGTGTCAGCAGCATCCACCACTTTGGCTCAGTATATGAGTACTCAGTCGACTAAACAGACTTCTGCAGTGTTTCATACTACTCCGTGGTCTGCAGATTCTGATTTCGGAGTTTGCCCTCCCTTCAGCTTCACGTCACCAGTTCCGAAGTAGAGTTCTCAATAAAATTTTTAGACTCAATATATTGAATGCATTCATTTTATGATGTGAAAATTAAAATTACAAACAATTTCATTTGCATTGCACAATGCTCTCTTCTTTGAGCCAGTCATGAAATTCGTTAAAACAGATGTGGAACATTTCTGGACTGATTAGTTTTTGGGAAGTTCATGTTTTAAATTTCCTAATATCAATCTTTGCATTGTAAAATCTCTCTCCAATCTGTTTTTTGAGCTATGATCTTTATTTTTAGATAAAGGTAAATTTCCTCATTTTATTTTTCTGCCAAAATTCAGTTTGTTCGAAGTTAAAGTATTATTTTTTAGGGAACGAGTACCTGTTTCAGAAGCACTTACAGTTCCGCCTCCTCCACCGCCGCCTCCTCCACCAACAAGTGCACGAGTTATGACAAAGCCGAGTATTTTAAAAAATGATGCTTCATTAAAAGCAGATCCGAATTCAGGTATCCCAATCATTCAAGTAATTGAAGAGGGATAGGGATATAAAATAATTTAGATTAAATGTGCAAGAAGTTTTTGCAGATGTAATGTGCATTGTGTCTTTTCTTTTAGATGCTCCCACAGTCAAGTCAAAGGACATTCCAATGGCTTTAGATCCGATACTGCTGGACCTCGTTGACTTTGCTCCAAAAACTCAAGTGTCAAAGTCGAAAAAGCCTAGCCGAGTCCACAGTAAACAAGGAATACCTCTTACTCAAAGGAAATCAGCTGTAAAAGACACTCTTAGTGTATTAGATATCAAAAATACCGGACCAAAGTATACAAGTCAATTAGGTGGAAATGAAAAAAAGGAGACGGATGCACAAGTGCCTGCTGAAAAAGATATTGAGATATTAAAAATTTTAAAACCAGAAAGAATTGAACATGAAGAATTAGATGGAGTGGAAAATAAAAATCCTCGGAAAGCTGGTAATGACTCATGTAAAATCGAGGAGGTTATAAGCCATATTCCTAAATCTCTTGAAAATGATGTGGATACAAATACAACTGTATGCGGAAATGATCTTATGATTGGAGACAATGGTTCATTGGTAGTAGGAAGAAATGATCGGAAAGGAATAAAATCAGTTGACACAGCCATCGAAATTAATATTACGGATGATAATATGCCTCAACAAGGTAAATTGCAGTTGAAAATAAAATAGCTGTGAGGCTGCTACAAGGTAGATACTTTGAATTTAAATATGAGGAGAGACACATGATTACTCATAATTAGGTCTTTGGAGAACATATCTGACTTTTATGTAGCAGCTAGTGCAATAAACTTTGTTTGAAAATCAGTCTAGATTAGATTTCGATCCAGCATTCATCATGTGCTTGATATATTTCAGTGATCGATCGCCTTTTTCAGGGAATAATTTCGATAACCAACTTCTGGAAGACCAAAAAGTTGAGCCAGTTATGGAGAAAATAATTGTTTTGCCTGGTCATGAGTGTATTGGATACGAATTGGCGTCGCCAACTGTGTCAGATCGAATTACCTCTCCAGAAAATGTTATCTTTGAAATTTTTACCATCTTTGGATAAATTGTTGGTGAGGAAATATTTTTTGTAATCGGATGCCAAATTTCTTAATTGCCTTTCATTATAGCCTCATTTCTGCGGAGTTCTGTGTGCTTCACTGGATACAAATCATCAGAGTGATGTTATTAAACTTGGTCCGCCAGATTCTCCTGTTCCTGGAGTTTGGTGAGTTGCTTTGTTTGATTCGATTGAATGTTTTTAGGCAGATTTCACTTCTGCAACGTTGGAAGATTTCCGAAAGTTATATCTCAAAAATCAAGAAAGCAGAACTCCGTTACTTAATTATGTAATCGCCATTTTGTTTCTTGCACTCACAGTATTAAAAAGTAATCAGGCAAAAGAATGCACTGAATTTTCATACGTGACGTACAGGAAGATGTAATTTTAACTTTGTGTGTGGTTTAGTTGGGAATTATATTTTTAAGCGTGAGTTTCATGCGTTTCCAAGAAATTCGGAAGCTTATTCATTGTTGAGAAAAAATGGTTTTCGTTAATTTCTGTCTTTATCAAGGTTTTGTATTAAAATTATTATAATATAGAAATGATTTCTTCCTTTACATAGTTAGATAATGCAGTTTCACATAAAAGTGTCTATGACTTTAGGAAATATCTAAATAAATAAGCTAAATGAGCGTCTTAAATTAAAAAAAAAATTTCCTAAATTCCATCACATCAGAATGACCAGTAATTTCTGTGAAAATTTGCATTCAAAAATAGTGGATGGGGAAAGAATAATCATTATTTCACTTCATAGTGAAGCTTAATAAGTTGGTTAAATGTTAATAAGTTGATTAAATGCTTAATAAGTTGATTAAATGTATGGAATTCGTTAAAAAGTCAGTAAACTATCATTTTGTTTGTTTCATTGAAATGCGGCTGTTAAGGTATAGAAATGAAAGCGATTAGAGCTATTTAAAAGTCTAGGATCTCTTCCGTTTTACTGATAAAAAAATGATTGTATATATAAGCAATTATAAATGTGCTGTTTCTTCATGAGTGGTTTATGAATGTAGGTTATAGCTCTTTACACTAAAAGTGATCTTTAGGATAGTATTGCTAAGATAATTGAGAAGTCTGAATTTTGAGTTCTGAGTTTCTTGGAATTTGTTTTAGTAAACGTGAATATTGGTCCGCATCAACAAGCAGTTTTAATGAGTCAAATGCTTGCAGTTCAAATAAAAAAGCCAAAACCGTTGCTGCTGCGACTAAATTACGAACATCGAAGACTAGAGCTTCTGCGAAGCAAATAAATCTACTCCAGCCTCCAAAGATTTCTGATAAGGTATTTTATCTTCATCTGTATATTATTTTTCAAACGAAGGTTAATCTTCCTTTCTTGCGGTGTATCGCATCCTGGTTCTCTGGCTTTTTTGTTCGGCACTCAGGTTTATTGTGCTGGTCTCCATTGTTTCGTCCTCTTGAAATCCACAGCGTAGTGAGACGCTATGAGTGTCTTCTTGAGCACTATTGAATAGATATCTATGCCTCGACATGATCAGATATTCTAATCTTTGCGTAAAGCTTGTTTATTTCGTTACTATCCATCTCAAGTCATCACATACGGGATTGTTTTCGATCTGCATTTTATTTCTGACTTCAGTTTATTAACAAGTATATTAATACTCCTCCCACCTTTTACCTCAAAAGCATTGTTGCGTCACCTAGATCTACCTTGTAAGACCATCCACTCACTTGGGGGGATTCTGTGTGACATATTTATCCGCCACTTGGTTTACCGTTTCAGATGTAAGCGAGTCATCGCTTTCTAGAATTATTTTCCGCGTTCACTTTGTCTAGTTTATCTCACGTCTCCGGGTTCCTTGCATCAGGTATTTCTTTTTCACATCTAGATAATCCTTAGACTTGTATAGCTTATCTTGCTCGAAGTACGTCTTATGTCTTGACACCTTCCTCCAAGAACCGTTTCTGTCAGCACGGAATACTAGTTATCGCAGAATTCGCTTGCTTCTTCAGTGCTAGAGGCTAATCGCACGCATGAGTTTCTCGCATTACAGGGAACGGTACAGGAGCCATTCCCTTTTGGGCCTGCTTCTGAATCGGTCGAAAACTGCCTTCAGTAGTTCTCTACGAAATCTGGATCTCTCGGATGAGTGCTTCAAGCGTATTCATCTGATTCCTGGTGCTGGTACGCTGACGAAGTGTTCTCACGGAGGTTTTTATAACCTCATCTTTTTTCTCAACTTTTTCTTTTATGATACTAGATGCGGTTTTCCTCCATTTCCTTGTCATATCTTTCATATCCTAATTGCGATCTTCATGACATTCACTTTTTGAGCAGTAATATTTTTTCTTTTCCATTTATTTCATGCGTCTTCGTTCTCGCTAGGTAACTAGTTCGATCGATTGCTGGATTTTTTCGTAGTATCACTACCATTTTCACAGTCCTGGCGTTTTTGACTGCTCTTACCATATCTATTGTTTTTGCAATTGACTACACTGATGCTGCCGTGTTTAATTTTCGTTATAGCTGATGTCTCCATAAAATGTTAAGATAGACCAAATTTATTTATTTACTTATTTATTCATCTATTCATTTCATTCACTTATTTTCATCTATTTTTTATTCACGAATCTAACAACTCTTTTTAGTTCCGGAAGTACATGCATGTTGTTACACATCCAAATGGTGGCGCTTCAATGCTTAAAGCAGATTGGACAAAAATTAAACAGCATTTTACTGGTTCAGAAATTGACGAATTTACTTTGGAGTTTGTAAATTACGGTTTAGCCGAAGTTGACAGTACTCCTATTTTTGTCATTGCAGTGATTGAAAATGCAGCTGAATATCTTCAGGTATTTATTTCATCTTCCCCATTGTTTGTCTATTTCCAACTTTTCCTGTTAATTTGTTAGCATTTTATGTTTTCTCTTCGTCCTTCAGTTAGAAGTTTATCATACTTTGCTGTTTTAAAATGTTTTTAAAATATTAAATGATTGCAGAATAGTCTGGAATATTTTGCTAAGAAGTTCCCACATATGCCAGTGAAAATAGGATCACTTACCAGTAAGCAGTTTGTAAGCACAACAACCGTTTCTGAATATTACCGGCACGTAATGGATACTTGTCATCACGGAACTTTCAGGTAAATCGCATTTTTGAATTAACACTCTATTTCATACATATGCAACTACTCTATGACTGGTTTCTTTTATTGCATTTCGCTCTTCCTGTTCTAGATTCGTAATGTTTCCGTACCAGAAATAGACTTTTTTTTATTATAAAATGTTTGATGCATGCGTTTTAAAGATTATAAACGGTGAGGGAAAAATATTGCATGAACATTAGTTACTATAAAGATGCTGATCTTCACTGTAATTGTATATCTCGAAGTTCAATGTACTGAATTAATTTTTATCATTAGTTTCGACTGCTTTTTTATTGTATGTCATCAAGGATTTATAAAAGTAGTTTTTGAACGTCTATACTTGTTAATATTTTTCGAGTTTTAGCTGATTATTGCTTAGTTGACTTTATTTCTAGATATGGTCCTTTGCATGCGCTAAGTTTAGTAGGAACAAAGCAGGAAGAATGTGGCAACTATTTCAAGGAATTGATTGAATGTCTGGAACTATTTCCGATGCTTAAACTATTGATGCCATGGAGTGAATGGTCAGCAGCAGGCTTAGAAAGTCCTTCTGATAGTGATGATGGTCCAATTTTTTGGGTCAGGCCAGGTGAACAGGTGTGTTGCAAATTTTTTTTCCCGCATTTCATTTTGCTTCATTGGTTTTGACTTTTATGGTATTGTAGATGATACGAACAGATGACATGAAAGAGGATTCATCTTCAAAAGCGCGAAAACGAGGTTCTTCAATTCGTCCACATGCACCTTCCTATAGGTTTGAATTTTCTCCTTTTGTTGGTTTGGTCATGCATTTATTCTTTTGATGTTGCAGTTTAGCATTTTTGTAGATGTCGAGAACGACGGGAATTCTTTTTCGAAGATCGAACTCCTTGTCATGCTGATCACGTGGCAGATGGATTGGAAAGGCGTGCAACTGCAGCTGTTGGTCTACTCCAATCAATTTATGGACCAATGGAAAGAAAAAAGTAATTGATGACATTTTTAATTTCAGAAACCCTCATTTTAGTTTTGAAACTAAATTTCCAAGCCAGATGCTGGATTTTCCTTGACTTTAATGTAAAAACTGTTTGTAGAGGCGATATTGGAAGAAGAGCAGTTAAGGATGTCGTTTGCTTTCATGCCAGTGACTTTGAGAGAATTGTTGATGAGCTGCAGTTGGATCTTTATGAGCCGCCTCTGACTCAGGTTTGAATTTATGATTGCGCTCCCTTTAACTGATGTTATAAACCTCAACATTATTATTTGTAACTGTAAATTGCATTCATCATTTTATATTTCAGTGCGTGCAATGGGTAGAAGAAGCCAAGTTGAATCAGCTAAGAAGAGAAGGAGTTCGTTACTCACGTTTTCTGGTAGGCGCCGCTAGCTTTTTTGAATCAGTCTTTAGATGAATGGTAGTATTTAATGTATTGAGGTGGCAGAAATTCTTGGAATGATATTCTTCATAATATATTTTCATCGAAATCATGAAAAAGCTGTAAGCTATTGCACTTTTCAGTTATATGATAATGACGTTTACTTTTTGCCTCGAAAAATCGTTCATCAGTTTCGAACAATAAGTGCCTGCGCTTCCATTGCATGGCATATACGCCTTAAACAATACTACGATGATACTAATTTGGACACTGAAAGCGATGAAAATGTAAACAATTCAAAATCAGGAGAAAGGGCGAGGGTAAATTCTCGTAAGCGTAAGAGTAACCCAAGAAAAGCTGGAAGACCAAGGAAGTAAGCTTTCCATTTCTCTTGGATTTTCAGATAAGATGCATTTCTACATTTATTTCAACTTTTTTAAAGTAAACTGTTTCAGCAAAAATCTTTATATATTTTGTCGTTTTTTTTAGGAATGATCGTGCAAAAAAAGCAAAGCATTCGGGCTACACTAAATCGAGATCTTCTAAATAATGAAGTTTATATTGTGAACTATATGCGCCACTAATTCAGCACATTCCTTTACTGAAAATTCCAACTGTTTTGGCGGGATCCTCCAAATATAAATTTACCAAATAACCGCATCATTTATTACCTTCATTAGCAACATTTTTTGGACTCTTATGAATATTGAGAAAAATTAATCATTTTTAGTTGCAGAATCTTAATTTCATTCATTTCTCCGTCACAGCAACTGGACTTTTCATTGATGTGAATTTAGCACGTAGTCAATTTTGATGGAATTGTTTTACGAAGTATCGGTATAGCCATTGATGGCCTCATTAAAAGCACAGGCGTAGCTTCAAACATGTACGTGGTCTACTGGTCCATGCGGCTCATGTGTGCTTGGTTTTATGTATCTTGTTTGTTTCTCTTTTTTTCTGCGTCGTTTATATATTTAACTGTTGTTTTGAGTTTCGTAGCTCTACAAATATCTGTTCGCTATTACATTTCTTCGACCTTACTTTTTGGCCGTGCCAATTTTTCAATTCATCATCCTAAGTCTCAAATTCAAACCAGTTTCATTTTATCAAAAATGTGGTGGTATTACATCCATTACCCAATATTTTGTTTTTCGATTTACAGTTATCGAAGTTGTCAGTTATTTGTCAGTTATATTTTGGATTTTTCTAAGATTTGGAAAAAATACGCTCACGTAATCGGTTGTTTCATATTTCCGTTGATAATTCAGGAATGCAGTGAAATGAAATCTCGTATTATGTAAATCTTTGTTACTTCTGTTGAATGGGCATAAAGCGCGAGTCTTTGGTTATAATATCATGTTGAATCTCTGTTTACAGCTAGCCCAGTCTTTTATAATGTCTTGTTATATTTTTCGATAAATCTTGTTTTTTTTGTTTTAGTAACAGCGTAGTAATCTTTATGTAGAATAATGGCAATTCACTTGCTGCAGCTTGTTCTAGTCATGATCTGTCAGCGGCATGCAAACGAATTCTTTGATCTGATTGTGATTTGTCCCCAAGATTGAGATTTAAACTCGTATTTTTAGTAAGTATACTAGAAGTCAGTATATTTTAGTCATGTGAGACGGCTGGTTAGACTGGTTCAAATCCATATGAACAGTTTCGAATAATTAGGAGTTTATTTTTGATTTACATTTCTCGCTTGATCCTATTTATGGTTTTATTGGGAATGTGTTGACTGTTGGCGTAAAGTTATACTGGGCTTGTAAAGCTTCAGCAATAAGGTAGAGGAAAGTTCGTAGTTCAAAGATATAAGGTGTTAATCGAATACTTCAGTGCATAATTTAAACATTTCACGGAAGCGTTTAACATGATATTTAATTTTCGACGATCTAAGCAAGTGGAAGATATCGGAAGAAAATGCAAAGAGTTTGCCTAGTGTACTCATTCATCCTTTCTGGGATGTTGCCTATGAGCATGCATTTTTTGTTGCTTAAATTAAAAAACGAAAAATTATTGGGGAGCGATTCCAAACCTTTTTAATTGAATAATGTAAATATATTTGGATAATTTGGTCGCTAATTCTTTTGAACATTGAATTGTCATCTGAAATGACGATAGGAAATGCTGTAAATCAGCTAATATTTTCATTCAGTTTATAAGTCTGTTAATTCATTATATGTTCATGATATCTGTTTTGCGACTCTTTTCTTACGCCGTTCGCAGGAAGCTCCTGAAATTCTTGAATTTCATAGGCTCCAGATCAACTGCCGAATGCTTATGCCACAGAAAGCGTTGATAATTAGGTACTTCATCATGAAATCCGAAAATTGTCTTTCAATTTGATTATCATTTGGAAATAGTCTAAATTTCTAATAACTTATGGACGGATTTGTTTTGATTCTCAGCAGTGATTCTGGGAATATACAAATTTCAATAGCTCCCGCTTCCAGATCAGGAAGGACATTTGCCTTAGTCATTTTCATTGATGTAATACGTTGGTGGAAAGGTGATTGTGTCACTTCACAAAGAATATAATTACTCTCTCCTCACAGATCTTTTCCCACAAAATGTAAATTAATATATTCATTTTGACGGAGTAGAAATCGATATATTCAGATGTTCCGAATGATTCGCTTATTTACAAGTTTATTTGAAACAACATCGGCAATTGGTATCTGCTAACCCATAAGCTCAGTTTGCTTTTGAACTATGCCAATTACTTATTGACAGAGGAAACAGCAAGCATATAGTTACTTACTACAATCTCATGCCATCTGGACTCCTTATGATCTATCTTCAAAATGTATTATTCTGTCAAATCCTAGCTCCGCTTTAACAATAATATCTTTGTACTTTTATTCTTGCTACTTTTTGTTATCTGAATTTTATGAAAGAAACTGTATTTTTTGGAAGATGTAATTCAAATGAGTTTAGTAATACATATTATTAGAGAAGTTTCGTTAATTACATTTTTTGATCTCAAAATTTAGAAATTTAATTCAATTGATACCCACATTCTTTCAGATATTTTTTCAGAAGCCAATTTTTAAACTACTAATTTTGAAATTATTTGTGTTTTCGGAATTAACACAATGCATCAGTGACAAAAACAAGCAGTGAAAAATTTCAAAGACCGTTTAATAGAAGTTTCCAAAGCATTTTCAAAGGATTCAAATAGAAGCAAAACAGAAGGTTGATTGAATTAAAGATGCTGAATGATAAGTGATGTCAAAGACAAGGACGAGGAAGTTGAAAAGTTGATTTTGTCACACTTGAGGAAAAAAAGTTTTATGTTCTAGTTAAAAGTATGCTAGAATTTCTTTTCTAAAAGTTTCGAAAAAGTTCAAAATATCTGTAAGTCTGTGTGCTAGTTTACTTCTCAAATGTCTACTTACTAGCACTGCTTTACGGCTGCTTTAAAAAATTTCCTCTTTATTTATTACTGATACTATTTTACACTCGTTACGCTGAGCAAGCCTCTTCAACAATTTTACGCTTTCTTTAAATGAAGTTTTACTTCATTATTGTGGTAAAATCATATTGTAAATATTTTCTATGGCCACTTATTGTAATTTTTAATTACTAAAACTGATATTAGCCATAATAAGTATTGCTAATGAACACTATTTTCGCTTGCTTCTTTTTTTGCATGATTTTTGACCATTCTAAAAATGGCTATCCACCACAGTCATGCATAGCTGAGAAATAAGTGAAAGCTTAAATATTTGATTTGGTTACTCTTCAGAAAAAAGGATCAGATATAATAACAGAACCTAATTACTCAGTCGAGCATAACAGAAATGATATATATACATATCATGAAATTAATCTTTTCCATTCATAACTAGAAAAAAGTCGTTGTCAAAATTGTTGTGCTTTTGCTGCTTCTAATTGTTTTTATAGAAGCATTAACTTAAAATGTAATGCTTATTTTGTAAGGAAAACAAATTTTAGGAATTGAGTGCGAAAATATACTAATCTTAGTGCTGTTTTCAGGATGCTTTTGCTTGTGCTAGTATTATTACTCTTTGACTCTGCTGCATCTGAGAGGTTTGATATTTGTTTGTTTTCTGTATCAAAATATTTTAAAAATGTGGATCCCATTTATATATGTTACAGCTACTACCATGGACAACGTCTGGACCGTGTGCCATATTTCATTTCAACTCCATCAAGTGCTGCTTACCGCGAGGGCTCTGCTGTTCGACTCACGTGTGAAGCAACAGGTCTAAAAGCTGCATCTTGCATTTTTCAAATAACATTTCATTTCTTTTTGGAACTAATCTCACTCAGAATACTAATAAAACCTTAATTTATTCCACCACTGCTTGTGAGACTTCAAGCTTATAAATATAGAACCTGATAGTTTGGAAAGCAGAAATGAGGAAGATAACTTAATTTCAACTGGTATCCTAGTAGGTGATTTCAAAAGTCTTGTTTAACATATTTTGATAGCTATGTTTTTGCTGTGATGTTTATCAGTAGCTCTGTTTTTAAATAGATTGGATTCTTAATATTTTTCTTTTTTTAAGCAAAACCACAACCTATCACAACTTGGTACTTTAATGATGAGCAAATTCATCCAAGTCGAAAATATTCGCTGTACATGGATAATTCTATTCTCACTATTTATCCATTTCAGAGAAAAGACATTGGGAAGTAAGTTTTATTGATAAAATTTTCAAAGATCACTGTTGTAATTTTTCTCAGTTCATGCCATGAGCTTGTTGTTTCTTGTATTTTCCTAGTCTTGTTTCTTTATTTCAAAAAGTCTTTGCTCTACAATTATTGTGCTCATATTATAATGTTAGGTGCGGATTGTCACTTTTATCTTCACGTCTAAATAGAACAGAAATTAAAAAATGAAAATTATCTCTTTGAGAGCGCTGTGCTCTGTAAAGCCTTTTATGAATTAATATAAGAAAAAAAAGTCTCAGCAAAAAGAGTTTTTTTTGAATATAACTTTTTTCTAAGCAAATTATCAGGCAGAAACTAACGTTCTAAAGTTATCTAGTTTATATAAACTAGGCTTAGGCTTTCTAGCTAAAAATTTTATAGTCAGTCTTTGCATATATTGATATTTGAATAGCAGCACTTTTATAATTAATAATTTATTGGCAAATATATTTTGTTATTGTTTATGAATTTTTTAGATACAGTTGTGCAGCTAGCAATAGGAATGGCCGAATTCAGCACACTTTTGAACTACAAATCTTAAATAACTCGGCGCCTGTTATAGTGGATAGTCCTCAATCAAAAGTCGCCAGTCCAGGTGACCAGGTTACGTTTGCTTGTCGTGCTAATGGACAACCACCTCCATCCGTGAAGTGGTATTTTAATGGTGTGGAAATATCTCATGATGACCTACATATTGAGGTTTTTCAAATTTAATCTCTTTTCATCATAGTTTTAAAACCATTTCATAAATTACTGTTTTTGGGAAGCGCCACTAAAGAATAAATCGTTAAATTGTTCTTTTATTTCCAAGAAACGAAAAAATAGCATAAGTTAATTGAAGTTTTCTCAACGAGGCTTCGAGCTAACAATTATCCATGCCACTCGAGAGGACGAAGGAATCTACCAATGTGTGGCTAGGAACATTCTAGGAGCAGTAACGGTAGATGCAAGTCTTAAAGTCTACATGCCAAATCAACAAGCTTTAGATGAATCACTGACCAACGAATTTCTTCATGATGTCGTGCAAAAAGCGAAAGAAAATGTTGACAGGTCAAATTTTTGGATGGTTCACAACATTGTGCATCAATTCTTTAAAGTAAAAATTTTATCAACTGCCCAATAAAAATTTTAGAGCAATAAATCAGTCAAAGTCGTCGTTTAACAGTGGACAAATGTCTCCATGGGAATTTATGAAAATGTTCAAATTCAATGTGCCACAAAATGCTGCATTAACCAAAGCACGAGAAATCTATGAGCAAAGTTTACTACTGGTTCAACAGCATGTTCGTGACGGTAGAATCATAGATTTTATATTTGAAATATTAAATTTAAACCAATTAGAAGAAAATTTTTCGTTTGACAATGTTCAGTACTTCAGGTTTGAAATTTCCGATTGAAGAATTACCGAAAAATTTTTCGTTTGAATCAATTTTGGCTGTATCACATATCCAAACGATTATGGAGCTTTCTGGATGCGTTACTGGACCATTTCGAAACCCATGCACCGACATGTGTCTCTATTCCAAATACAGGTCCCATTTTTGAAGTTCCTATCAATTGCTCAATTTAAAGTTACTGTGTGATCAACTGACATTTATGTGGAACTATAGACGCATGTAACGCTTTTCTTGATCAGTTTGTTGACGCATCTAATAATCTCAAATATTACTTTGGAGAACATATGATGGACAGTGCAATAATATGGACAATCAGTTTTGGGGAGTAGCACAAACACCTTTTCGTCGAAATGTGCCTCCAATCTACGAGAATGGCTTCAATACACCAGTTGGATGGGATCCTGAAAAGTTGTATTTCGGATTTAAGAAACCAAACCCACGTCTAGTTTCTATGAAGATCATTTCAACAGAGCAAATATCGCCACATTTCGGTTATACTGCCATGATGAAACAGTGGGGGCAATTTTTAGGTAGAAAAATTGTCGTTATGACTTAAATGGTAAAGAAGTGTATTGGAAGTATTCAGACAAATCTTTACAATCTTGAAGCACAAATTCCGTTTTAGCTCATGACATCGAGCAAACGGCACCTGGCTTAGCTCGTCAAACATATATGAAAGGTGCCATATGTAATAAAACTTGTGAGCACTTGGATCCATGTTATAATGTTCCAATACCTCCTGAGGATCCGCGGATGCAGGCAGAGTAAGTTAATTTTTTCTACTACTTTTTACTGTTTAAAATTTTTTCAGGACAGTGCATCATAATACCATAAAATTAGGTGTAAGAATAGAAATTATAATTCCTTTAAAGGTATGACTTAATATAAAAATTTTAATCTTAGATTGCACACGAAAGCAATAAATTAATTTTCGAAACATCAATTCCAGAAAAAAACCCGAAATTCCATGCATTGAAGTAGAACGATCTAGTGCAACTTGTGGATCCGGTCAAACTGGGCCAATCTATCGACAGCTTACTTATCGAGAGCAAATGAATATAGTTATTTTTTTTTAAATTATTTTACAGTCTAAGATAAATTTGATCAAGCTTCGCAAGCGGAATGTATAATCCTGCAAAAGCTCATATCATAATTATTTTGCAAGTTCTTAAAATTATTTGAAAACAGTTTTGAGCATTAGATCTTTTTTGTGCTCTAATTTTAGCTTTTAGCTAACCGCCTTTATTGATGGATCGAATATCTATGGTAGCTCAGAAGTAGATGCATTGGATTTACGGGATTTATTTGGTGATCATGGATTACTTAGGTTTGACATAGTGTCAAGTGCTCAAAAACCATATTTGCCTTTTGAGCGAGAGTCATCAATGGAATGCCGTCGCAATCGTTCACATGAAAACCCAATAAGCTGCTTTTTAGCTGGTGATTACCGAGCAAATGAGCAGGTCAGTCTGATGTTCAAAAACAGTTTCAGGAAAAATTCCAAAAATGCGATCCTTAAAGTTTGCTTTTTCCGAACTCCGAAAAATAAGTCTTTGCAAAAATAAATCTTTCCAAAAAATAAGTCGAGACGAAGAGAACACGTTAATTTTATTGGATATGAAGACCGTATTTTGTATTTTAAATCAATGGTTATTGTAGTTGGCACTCCTTAGCATGCACACATTATGGCTTCGGGAACATAATCGTATTGCCACGAAGTTTTTGGAAATCAATCCACACTGGGATGGAGAAACGATTTATCAAGAAACGAGAAAGCTCATCGGAGCCATGTTACAAGTTATTACCTATGAGCACTGGTTACCTAAAGTACTGGGACCGGTATGAAGCTTATTTCCATTTTCAAATTTGATTCTTAAATAAGTATATCAAAAAAGCTCCAACTGATTACATATTTTAGGATGGATATGCAGAGCTTATTGGACCATATCAGGGATATGACCCAAATGTGAACCCTTCTTTATCTAATAGTTTCTCAGCTGCTGCACTTCGATTTGGACATACCATCGTTAATCCTATTTTGTATCGATTGAATAACGATTTTAAACCAATCAAAGAAGGTAAGGTAAATATGGTTCCCTAGATTCCTGCCATGGTTTTACTTAATTCATAGTTTCTATGACTCGTATTCATGACTTGATACTTCGTTTAATAGGTCATATACCACTCCATGAAGCTTTCTTTGCTCCGGAACGATTATTATCAGAAGGTGGAATAGATCCGTTACTTCGAGGATTATTTGCAATGCCGATGAAATCTCCCAAGGAAAGAGAACTGGTCAATAAGGAATTGACTCATAAGCTGTTCAGTCGTGTTGAAGAGGTATGGTTTTTTATGGAAATTTTAATGTAGAAAAAAGTAGAAGTCGATACAGTGCATGAGTTTAAGCTCAAAATGTTGGAATTTATATGATGCAAAAAGCAATGAATCTGACAAAATTTCAGTCTATGTACGATTTGGCGACAATCAACATCCAGCGTGGTCGTGACCATGGACTACCCGGGTTTGTGTAGTCGCTACAAGTTTAGTTGAGCATGAGAGGCAGCTAACTAATTGATGACAACAACTCATAAATCTTAACGTATTTAAAAAACACCTTCACTTATACTTAATAGAGTAAATTATATTTGCAATGCTTTAAGAATGCTGGCATTCTTAAATAAAGTCAGTATCCTTTCATGTATTTTGAATAAGTCATTATAAACAACAGTTGGCACTAGAATTGCATACTGCTTTCTGTACAACTTTGGCACTTTATGTAATTAAAACTGATACAATTTGCATTTTAAGATATGCTGAATTCCGACGTTGGTGCAACTTTAGTGTACCAAAAACATGGGATGATTTGGTGTATGATATACCAGACGATGAATTACGACATAAGCTTAAGGATCTTTATGGACATCCAGGTGACTACTTCCAGTTATAAATCAGATCTTTTGTATCCTTATTTTTCAATTTTACTTCTCATTAAGATTACAAATCAATATATGGTACCAAAAAAGGCATTAATTTGGTGGATAAGTTATGAAAGTATTCGCAGTTACTTGCTGCAGAAAATTAAATCAGAAATAAAACCAAGCCGATTTCAAGGAAATATCGACTTATGGGTGGGCTTGATTTCGGAGCAAAGATTAGCAGGAGCTTTAGTTGGACCAACAATTGGATGTATTCTCGGTGATCAGTTCAGACGCTTACGTGCAGGAGATCGCTTCTGGTTTGTGTTCAGTTTGGAAACTCGGTATGCAAGTAGTGTCAGGTGAAAGTAATAAAATAATGACGGAATTTACAGGTATGAAAATGAGGGCATCTTCACACCTCTGCAACTGCAACAAATCAGAAAAACGTCGCTAGCAAGTGTGCTGTGCAATAGTGGGGATTTCATTGACCGTGTGCAGGTATTAACATCAATCCGATAATATCACCCAAACATCTGATATCCAGCATTATAATGCTATGCTGTTAAAAATCTTTCTTTTATCAAAGATCTTGCCAAATATTTCTAGCCGGACGTATTCGAATACAGAGGGAATCGATCGATGAAATTTTATGAAAATTGTGATCGTATACCTCAAATTAATTTGAACGTGTGGCAGTCCTGCTGCGAGAAGAGCTGTGTTTCAAGTGCTGATGATTATAGTGTAAAAGACAGGTGAGCCCATACGTTCATGGAGCTACGATCTTTTCTCACAAATAGGAATCTAGAGATTTAAGTCTGCTCAAGTCATACAATTAAATAGGAAAAAATTTAAGTTCATATTTTCTAAAGTTGAATAATTTTTAGAAGGCGACGCTCAAGCAAAATTCTTGATAAGGACATATGTCAAGATGGCGATGCATTAAAACGAGATGGCGATTCTTGGACAATTGACCAATGCACTACATGTGAATGCAAGGTGTGCCTTTAATGAAAGAACCTTCTTTCCCATATCATTTTCCAAATAGCAACTCCATCATACAATTTTACTTTAGGCTGGCCAAGTTTGGTGCTTCGTGAAGAGCAACTGCACGAAATCATCAACATGAAGATGCAGAAAGCAATGCTACGAGATTCCTATCATTAACTTTCAATTCGCAGATTGTTGTGTGCATTATATTGTTAAGGAAGTTATAACTATGGGCGTTATGATGAGATCAGATCTCATAATGAGCTATGCATAAATAAACGCAAGATTGACATCCAATCAACCAAACTTATACGTACTCAGTTTCTGCGAAATCTATATTACCAGCTTTGGCGAACCACACCAAGATTACAATATGTGTCACCTGCTTTCCACATATTCAAATTAGATACAGGAATTAGAGGTAGCGAGTAAAGATTCATGACATTTCAGATGAATTCACAATTTTAGATGTTGAGTTTACTCAAAATAACGATGAGTGACCGGGGTTTGCAATTTATCCGTATACGCAGTTTTATTTTATGCAAAAGATTCATATAGTATACATTAGTTCTGAACATAACATAACTATGATCGAACATACTTTAAAAGCAAGGTGGGCAAATTAAAGGCTTAATTGCAAGCCAACCAATAATATGTTTTCTATATTACGACGAGCACATTCATACAGTAAGAAAAAGGCACACTGAGAAGAAACAAGACCGTAATAAAATAAATAGAAGAAAAATGAGAAGTCACTTAACAATTTTAGAGATATATATCAAGCAGCAAAACTGCATCAAATTCTAGTAAACATTTTACGGTACAAAAAAATGATCCGAGCACCATGTCACTTCATAGTCCACATATTCAGGAAGACCTGTCACATACAAACCTTCTAGCATCCAGAACAGAAAGTAACTGGACAGTCTACGAGGAATACAAATATCCCAAAACATGCAAAGACTTTAATAACAAACTCAATAACACTTATCAGGATATGATTACCAAAATAGTTGATGATAATCAACAATTTTATATTCTGATCAAGAATATAATAGTAATGGTGGAACAAGAAGCACATTGTCTCACAAAACTCAAACACAATGTACTTCTGTTTCGAGTTCAGAAAGACTACTGGGTGAGTACCAATATCATGAGAAAAACATCTAAAAGGAAGAACTGAGTGAAAATTTTAATAATGAATGATGCATTTAGACGACCAATTGCATGTACTATTGAAAATCTTATAATTTCTTAAGATACATATAATCGCCGATAACTTATTTAGATTTATTTCAAAAAGTTCTTGCAAAAATATGAGCTTCCACTCAATGACGGCATTACATTATAAAACTCTCGTATTCTCATGTCTGTGTGATAATGGTCTCATACATAAAAGGATATAGAATTAATATACTGTTTCATTAATACTCTTCGCTCCATACATTAGTAATTTATAATCAACATTAATATTACGACATGATATAATCTAAATTCGAACAACATAAACAATATTTTTAACTTTCGGGCGAATTTCACAGATAAATTCTACTGAGCAACGAAATTCTTGAAAATGCAACTCTGAATATATTTGAACTGAAACTGTCTGAAATCTAATAATCTCTTTTTAAATTCCTTTGCTGCTGGACATTCGGTCCTGGATATCGTACTCGGTGTAGTTGTCCAGAACCATCTGAGTTGGTGACACGATTTGATGCCTTGTTGCCACGTTTAAAAGTCTGCCTTTCACGGTCAACTTCAAAATCTTCTAACCTACAAAAATAAATTTAGGAACAGTGAAAAAGAATCTAAAGTAATAAGAAAAATTAATGGATTACCTTTGAGTTAGAGTCAGTTTCTGCTGAATAGCCATGCGCAATAGTGAATTTAATGTCCTCTTCTCGTCTTCTGCTGCTTTTTGTATGGCAGTCATTTCATCAACCTAGAAAAAATTCAAGCTGCAAATGAGACCTACGACAGCAGTAAATGAAATTATTCACAAGGATAAAAACGAAGCTACTTTTCTGAAAGTATCTGCTGGACCGAGTAATCGATCATACCTGCGCTTGCAATTCTTCACAACGCGCAATAAACATCGCGCGATGAGACGCAAAAGTTGCAGCATCTTCTTTGAAAGCTTTCAACTCACGCCTCAACCTTTCTAAAATCACATGAGTCGTCGCCTTTTCACTTTCATATTTTTCTTTCAATGAAGCTAAGGCTGATTCTGCAGTAAGTTTGTTTGACTTCAATACTGTACGCAAAGTTGCGATCTGGTCTCTGTAAAATTAAGATCAACGAAATGCTTTGTAATGTACGATCAATTTCACTCAATTAAAAATCTAAGTTTTGAAATAGAGAACGTTACATATTATATGGTTTAAAACCTTATTGTCATGTTTATTTTAGTAATGTAAACTGATTAATAACATTATATTGTAATATCACAGTGCCGTAACTATGACAATTTTCAACAGAAGTTCGACACTGCATAAATTTTTGTATGCTCTGATATTATGCCAATACTTCTCTGTATGAGCAGTTTATTCCATAGAAAAATTTTAATACATTTTGTCTCCAGAACAGAAACGATAAACAACCTTTTCGTAGCTAATAGAGAACGCAACTTCATATTCTGCAAAGTCAATTCTTGATGATCTTCATTCTCAACTCGTGAGTTCAAAGCACTCTCTACAGCGCGTCGAACAATTTTTGAAAGTTCAGTAAGGCAATCAGATACTCGGAAGACATTACTTTCACCTAAACATTCAAAAAAAAAATATTTTACAGTTAACATGTATAAGTAAGCAGGATGAATAGTATTAAACAAAGCTTTCGAAAACATAAAAAATTTCTTACCAGGAACGATTCTTTCTCTGAAGTCGCTTTCTGTTAATATATCATGCAATAGGCCACAAACTAGTTTATCACTTATAAGTTTTGCAAATGCAGGCGATATGAATTGACGTTGTAAATTTAACATTAGACGTGGTGAGCGACCACCTTCGGTTTCCGTCCCACTTTCAACGCCTTCATCTGAAACACAAATCAACAACGTATTTAACATCGTTAATCATAAAATAAATGTTTTACATATTTATAAAAATAAGAAAACTGGAATTTCAAATAACCTTGTATATATTCTTCACTTTCTGCATTTTCTTTAGCATACTGTCTGAGTTGTTTCATCATTTCCGTCGCATTTCTATCTGCTTCTAGTCCGTGAGTAGAAACCAACTGATGATATAAATGGTATAGGAAATCGGCAACAGCAATCATTAAATCCTAAAATTATAAGAACAAATGTATATAATGTGATCCTCATAAAATAAAATAAAAAGCGTACCAGAGCAGAACCCAGTTTTGCTTGGTTCTCGCCAGCAATCATGACTGCAGTACGCAAGTCCGCTTTAACAAGCTCATACTGTTTACCCGCTACATCCGCTCTGGATGAACGTTCAACAAGTTGCTCAATTTTTTTCAAAGCATCTTCACAAAGCTGCTTCAGCTGAGAGTGATCTAATTCTAAATAAAAACTTTTTAAAACTGCAATCAACTAAAATAAATATATGATGGCGAAAACATTCATATAAATTAATGAGTCCTTTATTCACTAAGACTATAAACAAATCATACATTTTCACTCACCTGGTGTACTCATTACTGCAAGTTTTTTCAAAACAGGTATAACGTGACTGACATCTTTTTCCATTCTTTTCAACTTCGATGAAAGATTATCACTCTTTGTTTCTAGATCGGCTATTCGTTCAGGTAAATCACCATGTATTTCCGAAAATAAATCAACACCTTTTGGTGGCCTGCCTTTACCAAAATCTTTCGAATCCACAATAAGTGACGATTCCAGCTAAAAATAAAAGTTTTAACAATTTTAACTTTTTCTGGTTTTTAGTAGTGACTACTCAGAACCAGAAAAAGTTGACGCTAATTATTACTTCATAGGTTCGGCCTAAATGAATGGATTTCCTCATAACTTAACGTCAAATATCATATACCTCTTTAAGCGTCTGAGCGTCATCTTCATTATTATTTTGTAACCCGAAAAGCATTGTATTGAGCTGCTGCAGGTGCTCTGCATTTCGCATTAATTCCAACTCCTTCTTATACATCAGCTTTTGATCACGTTCTTGCTGTACATTTACCAGTGCATCTTCCAACTTAAAAACAATTTAAATAAGCTTACAACGGCAAGAAAAAATTTGAAAATCCTGTTCTGATGTATTTTAAGAAATATATATAATCTTGTACCATACAATTCGTGATGATATATACAAAGGACTGAAAAAATATATTAAGTGGCTGAGGACGAAAACAATCGTGTAAAAACAGAAACGAAAAATACATGTTTCTGGGCGACAATCGTCAATTTATTGGCTTCCTCTTTATCTGCAATTAACTGGTCGATTTCATCCATCAGACGCTTTACTTCTATTTTTACAGCTTCAAACTCTACTTGAGCGCTACGTAAATTTGACACCTAAAAAAAACTACATAAAAAGCTTTTAAAACGAACATCTCCACAGAAATCATATTCAAAACTTTTGTGCAATACAACAGATGTCAAGAATAAATTAATGGAAACCTGCTTCTGTAACATAATGTTTTCTTCTTCTAACTCAGAGTAATCACTTAACAATCTCTGCTCGCGATTTTTTAATTCTTTTATATCTTCTCTTAACTGTCGCTTTTGAGTATCAAGATCAGATGCTGTTTCAGATGCATTTAAATGCAAGGTTTGTAATCTATCTAAATCAGCTCGATACCTTTCCACTTCCTGCAATACAACAATAAACCAGCAACCAACTTTTGGCCAAACACAACTTTGTATTACAACTTCGTATCATTAAATAGTGTAGAATTAAATAATTATGCAAATTTGTACATGTTGACAACTTTTCAGGTCCATTTCAAGAGTTGAAATTTTGGCTAAATATTCCTGCTCTCGATTCATTGTTTCTTCTAACAAACTTTCTTCATGGTCGATATCAGACTTAGCTACTGATTTTTGCTGCGATTGAAACTGCGCCAAAGCCTTAAAACCACTTTATTCATAAAATCTGGCAATGGGAGGGAAATATGAATCTAGCATTCTTTAATGCACACAGATTCATTTCCAGAACAGATATGCATATTCAAGACCGAAATTTTTCCCACAAATTACGAGAAAAAATATCCTCTAATCGTTAATTGAAATTTGTTTCAACATTTTAAAATCCATGCATAACAGTCTCATGAAAATGACAGATTATGTAGATCCAAATGGAATACAAATAAACATCGAAAACTACTAATCACCTTTTTCGTGGCTTCAGCTTCTGCTTTTGCAGTATCAAACTGAGACTGCAAGTGCATAAGTTTAACTTCGAGTTGCTGCTTTTCATCCAAAACCTGTAGCCCATATTGTGCAGCCTAAAATTACGCATAAACGAAACAGAAAGGACAACTAAGTATTCATATCAGAAAAAATTAAATGCTTCACATTAGGCAACCTTGATTTTATCTGAAGAAGCTTCCTCGAGGGCATTTGTCAAACGAGATACTTCTGCTCTTAGGTCGTCTAAATCCATTTGAGACCCCGTTTTCGATCAATTCCAGAGTCTGGAAGTAATCGAATACAAAACTTCACAAGTATATTGCCGTTCTAAATATAAAATTTCTAACGCAAAATGTAATGTAATCCTTAATTATAGTGTGAAAATACAATATTACCATTAAAGCATACGCTAAATGATGAAAATAATTTACTGCTAGTTTAATAGAAAATAACGCAAGAGTAGAATAGTACACAAGCATTAATCGAAAATTTACTTCTTTCATGATAGAAAACAAGCAAGGAGGAAAAACATTTTCCTCTTGAAAATGTTCTTTCTTTGCTTTTACATGCATTACAAACTCTCACTATGAAAACCAATTGCAAAGCTCATCCAAATTGCATGACACACACCATATTTTTTTATCACAATTAAAATTATTTGTTCACAACATATCGTTTAAAAGTATCTCAGATGAAACAGTAAGAAAGTACTGTAAAGAATATTTGATAATAAATATATCCCAAACGTGTCGATGTCAACTGGCACAGAAAAAAACAATGACGATTGTTATCAGAGAATATGTTTTGATAATCAAAAAATAAATAACAGAAAACAACAACAACAACCAACTAAACGACTCCCTTCCACAATGCAATGTACTTAACGAATAAGCTAACTTGTTACGAGCATATATACAACAATCTCAAGAATCCCCAGTTAATTTCTTTCCGTGATTTACTTTGTCTCACCGGAACAATAGTTCTTGAACCAAGCAAGTGTATCAGGAAACATTATAGTCCCATTTGCTCTTTGATGACTCGATATTTTCAATTTCAAACAAAATGTGAACACATTAGAGAAATGCATTAACAAATGGTTTGTAATCAATGTTATACACTTCAAACGTGCAAAATATTTCGCACATTTAATGATTACTAAAACGAAATTGTCCACCAAATGACAACATATTAACAAATAATAATATATTATTTTCTCGCCATTTGAAGCTGCTAAATTTGTCAATGAAGCACAAAAACTTTTTGCACTTGGAACGAGGATTAGTGATGCCAGATCTGTAAGATTAAACAATGACAAAAGCAGGAATACGATTAAAGACAAAAAAATGATCTGTGCTTTCAGCAATACATCATTAAATACAGAGTAGCAAGAGAGGATGCATTATGCAATGATAAATGGCCTTGCAACAAATACGTTGTAGCAAGCAGGCTTATAATTCATTTCCAATTTTTTTTCTAATTAATACACTTTAAGAATAAGTTTAATTTAATGAAGGATAGTTTGAATGACTCCTTTACACCATTCCACCACCTCTTCTTTACAGCATACATACATGCCTAAGTAGAGGAAACAATTTTCAGCAATTCATCCCCACAAAGTTACAGACAGAAACCCTTTCAAAGCGAAGAGAAGCAGAAAATCTAAAAAGGTCAAGAACAATGACTTGCAACATAGATAAAAAAAGAAATTCATTTGCTTATTTTCATGCTTCTGGATGAAGATCTTATGTGATAATTGTTCTATGTTGCATAATTAACTGACGAGAGCACAATATGAAGAAATAATATTAAACCATTAATAAACACATCGCTTCTTGCGAGTAGTCCATGAATAAAGCCAAACTGTACACATGCAGTCAATACTAAGCTCAATACAATTTTGACAGACATTAATAATCTCAAAATTTAAAATTTAATCACTAATTAGATCTTGCTTTTTTAACACGGATAACGACTTTCATTGCTGAAAATATATGGAATTACAGCTTTATATTTAACAGACATAGAAATATCTTCGTTTTATAGTGCAAAGGTAAACGATCACCAATAACATAGCCTAACTATACCAACTCTTACATCACACCGATGCTAAACTTGTAACACACAGGACACAAAGTGACCGTACAAAAATTTCCGCTCTTGATGGAACTTACGCTAGGAACTAATCTACAATTTGCAGCACAATAAGAATTCTGCGATAACCCGTCTTGAGATTTATAAATTACAGTAGAGGTAGAGGGTAATCCGTACAATATCAATTTTATCAGTTTCTACAAACAATTATCACATAAGATCTTCATCCAGAAGCATGAAAATAAGCAAATGAATCTCTTTTTTTATCAGAACTTTCTACACGCCTGTCGAAAACTATCCGTAAGTACAGTATGTGAACAACAATAATCGAACGTGACCTTCCTCTTTACTTTAGGCAAGTTTCCTTGCTATTCTCAAGAACCTTTACACTAACACGAAATATAAGAGAAAAAACCGAAAAAAAAATCACCTTTAAGGAAACCTTTACGTTGCTTCATTTGTTCAATAATATATGATCATGAAGCAGAAAATGTTGAAGGTTTATGTTAACAAAAGTAGTGCCACCATATTTACCAGAAAAGAAAACATGACTTCATGCGCTTAACATGCTTTCATTTTACAATTCGTACGCCATTCAAATATCACTTACTTTCGAAGAAGTGTCTTTAAAACAATTGCTTCGTAAGTAACATCACTTGTGTTCCGGCATATATAGCTCAAAACTCTTCATGAAAGGCTTGTTTATTATTTGATGACTTATGAACAATTAGACAATAAAGTTGTCCATATATAGTCTAAACATAACAAAGCGTAATATCTGGGAGTATAATGAAAAACAAATGACTTGTATTTTATGTGCATGAAAACTAGATGACCGCAAGTGATAAACACATTGCAAGAATTGAAGAGATCTATATTATGTTCACGCTAATTTCAGCAAATTTAACCATGACTACTTCTATCACTGCAACTACAATTTACTGCAAAAAAACATGGGTTGGTTTTGTTCGTTAATACACTGTAGATTAAGGATGATAATAGGGCTTCATCTTATTATTAGGAAATGAATACAGTACATTCATTCCCCCACTTACCAACAACAAGCATACCTCAACAACAACTTTGAAGTCCGTTAATTATTCAACTTCAATGTCTTACCTGCAATAGTAATACACAATTCACCATTACAAAATTTAAAACTCCAGCTATTATTATAGTTGTACTTACTATTTTCCTCATACAAAACTGCAATGAACCATCCCTGTAAAGAATCTTAAAGATAATTTATACATATTTAAACCAAAAACTGAGATTATGTAGCCAAAAAAAAGCTACAGACGTCGCTGATATTATTAAAATATAGAAGTGAAGTGCATAACCAGGCAAACCGCATGTAAAAATGATTTATGAACAAATTTTGTAATCGAAAGAATAGATGATTACCAAAGGAAAAACTTACAAAGCAAAGTCTGATAGATGACAGAAAAATCTCATAGAAATAAGACACATGTCTTGTAGAATCATTTTCAAAAATTCAGTCAACAGCTGCAGTAACGGAAATTTAGTTTTCAATGAAGAAATCTTGCACTGATAAACAAGACTCCTGTTATCTTGGAATTTTTTTGCCTGTAGTTTATACAGTAAAAAATCGATTTAACTTAAAATGAGCATAAGACTTACATTACAATATACAGGATATCGAAGCTATAAATGAATTCCAGTAACATATAGAAAGAAAAATAGTTAATTTTTTGACGGAACAGATCTTAAGTTTAAAATCATGGCACTAAAAGATATCTTGTGGCGGTATAGGTAAAAGTAAGTTGTAGAAGCATTCTTCTTTCCAAAAACTCGGCATTTTCCAACCACACCAACCTTTACTTATCACAGCCTGCAAATCTTCATCACCACAGTAATGAGGATCTAAAACCAAAAATGACGACTGTCCTGTTGATTCATTGAAGTCGACACCTAAAATCGTATGAGCCAACATTCCACCACCTAAAAGATTTTTTAAATTAAATTAGTTACCATTCCATAAAATATGGATAAAAAGAAATACCAACAAATAAGATCCATATCAGACTCCTGATTGATTTTCAACTTATTCCATAGAAAATATGAATTTTTCTCCTTAACCTCATACTTACCAATCATAACAGGTGTACCATATATTTTGAAATGATGAGCCAACTGACGAATATTTGCAACTACATCCCTTCCCGAATTAGTTGTCAACATGCGTGATTCAATACCAGCCATATTTTCTAAGCAATAAGCAAGCTCTACAGATCCAATCCACTGATGACTCCCAACAAAATTTGCATCCTTATCGCCACACTCGTATAAACTCTCAAGTTATAACTAACATTTGAAACCTTTTAAAACATAATGTGTACTCTAAACCTAGATCGAAAAAAAATTATGCGTTCAACAATGTTCTATGAATACATAATGCTATTATGACTAGTATAACTAATGTAGATACATGCGTAGGAAAATGACAAGTACTTGTTGAATATCAACATGAGTCGGAACAGGTTTGTCTATATATCCTTGAAGAATAAACCACGACCAAATTGTTTGCAGAGAACGATAAGCGCAACCCCATCCACTATCATTCAATCCATCCTATAAAAACCAATATAGAAACTAAAAATTAATAAAATTTCTCAACAATATCAATAAACATGATGAAAATTCTAAAAGTAACAACACATGCGAAGTTCTATCTGTGATTCGTTTCATGCAGTGCATGAAGACATAAACAGCGTTAAAAAATCGTTCCAAGGAGAGATAATCAAATGTTATACGAAAACAATTCACAACTTCAAAAATAATGCTCAATAACTAATTTCAAGAAATGTAATTACGAAGCTGATCAGTAAAATACCTGCATATAGTGATAGTAATTGTATGAGCCACTAACAAGAGAGATATCTCCCTTTGATTTATCTGCAAAATATAAAATATTAAAGTGAAAAAAAACCAAATCGGTTCTGTGATTTTAAGAAAAAGCAACACCATGAAATCACTTGTTTTTCAGTTATCAATAAATCAAACTTAATCAAAATGAGATAAAAGAAATGATTGATGAGAAAAGTTGGAAAAATTCAACTCTAACGATTTGTATTCTACCGATTTTCGAAATATAACCATTTTAAACAATATCAGAAAGACCCGAATTTTTAAAAATAAAATAATGTCACAGTAACTAAAGAGATAAGAGTTAGTGTAGAAACTGAACACATCGCAAGATACTTGCTTACAAGATTTGATATGAAGATGAGGACTTTCTAACATCTTCGAATTTCGATGCCTGAACTGGAGCGATAGAGAAGGTCTAAGCATTGGTTTATTAGTAGGAAGATTGAAAATCCTATGCAGTTTAGCACGATAATTTCCTTAAAAACTGGAAGACGCTAGATATATTCTTATATGAATAAACTGGTCTATATTTCTGATAAGAATGAAGTAAGAATAATTTATGAGTTTCCGGAGAAAAACAACATACGCAACATGACTTCATTATCGATGCGAGGATAAACTAGCGACAGAAGTCCGATACTGGTTGAAAAAATACCACAACTAATGTTTACTAACTTCTGCAAAACCTATATTAATCTTGACATAATTATTGTTAAACTTTACTTAGCTACATCAATAAACTGATAAATACGCGAAATTTTTGCTGCTGCATTACTTTAAAGCAAATATAAAACAAGAATTAAAGAAAAGTTTTAGAAATAAGAAGGTGTAAAGTCACACAATTATAAACATATGGTATAAAGCCAACTTTGGAATTCGAGTCGATAAATTCATGTAAGCATCGGTCAACAAGATAAACTGTTCGTTTTAGAGCTTTTCGCAATGAAAGAAGAATCTCTACTGGACTATTACTCAATTCCACTCCAGTTACCGAGCACAGCAGAACTTTTAAGTTGCAAAATACAGCAAGATCTGGAACTTATCTATAAAACTCTCTATTTCTGAATAGAAATTCAACGAAAAATGATCTACCAGTAGTAAGGGAATCTTTTCTTATAAATAGAGAAAATACACGACTCTAAAATTAGACAAATTCTTCTACGCCATAGTTAAAGCTAATCAAAAACCTTTTCTGATTTTTACAATTGGAGAAAGTTTAGATGAAGAAACATCGAAATCCTTGCTGATTGGAATCACTGGAGTGAAACTCACTATTTTCTGAAAATTCTTCTTTAAAACATGAGAAAAAGATACCAGAAGAATATTTAGGGATTATATTCTCTGAAACAAAAAACTTACTTTCCCACCAAATAAACATTCACTCATCTCCAGCATTCGCTTGTTAAATTGCTTCCTATCGACTAGTTTAGTTCGACCCAAGATGAAACTTTTATCTGGTGGAATAAAGCATAAAGATTCAATATCAACCAACTTGGTAGATAATGCACTCGTGATTTCTTTATTGATTATTCTTTTTTTACTCATATTTATATTAACATTAAGTTGCAACGATGTCTGAATCACATACCCATCATTCGATTTCTCACCAAGAGGCCTTGAAAACTTCAAAAAATGATACCTCTGATTATTAGCATAATATCGTGATGATAAAAAAACAATCTAGAAAATAGGCAATCATCACAAAAAAGCACCGTAAATTAATTTCTTTATTCAGCTTGATGATAGCGTCAATGTCTCGAAGTTTTAAAGATGATACATCAGCAAACAATAACAGGAAATGTTTAGTATTCATAAATGTTGCCAGTGAGTTTAAATCAAAAGGACAAATAACACCAACAAGAGATAAAGTCCCCAGAAAATCAACGTCTGAAAATTACAAAGGAATGAATAATCCACAGCAGCGGTAGAAAAAAACTTTTAGCAAAATTTTTAGTAAGATCGCGGTAACCTGAAACAAATGACCATAATATCAAAAATTTGAAACCAATGATAAACTTACTAGAAGGTAATGAACTTTCGACAAATCGTACTAAGTCCAATGCCTCATCGATATTTTTTGAACAGTTAAATACTACAGTTGCTATGTTAGCTTGCGAAACACTACCAAAAAGGAGTGCAGACAGTATATCCTCATTCCATCTACAACAATTACTGTAATTCTGAAATAAGCAATTTCAAAATAGTCCAACTGTCCCTTGTTTCTGCATAAATACTATTTAACTGAACTAAATTCCCACAAAGCAAACAAATGAAATCGATCTTTTACTAACATACGGAAAAAAAAGCATCATAACGACAGCAAAATACTCAATTTTCTACAAAATTCTGCGAAATTAAACACTGTAATAACTAAATATCACCTCAAATAACTGATTGAAATCAATTGTCCACATTTAAATACGGTACTCGACTGGGATGATAGGTATATTTATGTAGCACTCCTGAAAAATAGAAGCAGTGCAACCATAGAACTCACAAATCCACAGTCTTAATTAAAAACTTCAGAAGAACCATCTTGAGCAAGGAATCTAAGTGAAGTTAATTTTTCCAGATTAATGAAACAGTCGAGACGACGAATGAAGATATATTCATTACTTTGTTTTTTCTCAATAATAGAGCTACTTTTCACAACTACAAATTTGGAACAAAGCTATACCACATATAAAGGTTTAATTACCAGCTACTAAATTTTCCTAGAAAACATGCGTATGCTGTCATAAAATATTCAAAATAAAAGAGGTTAAAGAAGATAGCACAATAAATCTAGCTAAGAAGCCAATCCTTTACAGCACTGAGATGCAGAATAAAGTAGTATTTATCTTCTCAAAACTTACAGTACACCTATCATTTATCATAGAAACAAAGTGCCAGCGAAAACAAATATGTTATGCATATGAAATTGTCATTAATCAGGTAAAGAAGATACAAACGATTTTTATCGGTAATTAGCCTTCATCAATGTAACAAAAATGGAAAGCCCTAAAAGTTCGAAATCAAGATTTTAAGGTGGAAGAAATGAAATCGAAATTATTGAGATAACATAAGCAATTAAATAAGTTTGATTAAATAATTATACCTTGTGAACCACATCACTTGCCAGGAATAATATATTTCATACAGAAGACGGAATCACAACAGGAAAAATAAACCTCAACTGGATTTGCAAAAAATGCACATCGATATGTAAAAGAAATTGGAAATATCACTACTTCTTAATGTTATCACACTACATCTCAAAACTGAACCATCATAATACAAGAACAGACACCATATTTACTACAGCAATACAAAAATTTAAGAATGTAATGGAAATCTAACTCTTCTCATTTGCATTAACTGCTATGAACAGAAGAAATTATTCTGCAGAAAAAGAAGTGGTTACTTTAAGTCCTGACCAAAAATAATTTAATTAAATGATATTTAACTGCATTTGCTGATCATCTCTTCGTTTCGACAAAATCAATATTCATCTTGAAAAAAACATATGGATAGTAGTCATGCATACCCAACGACATCAATGTTGGATTATCCTCAATAGCCTGAATAGTATTTAAATATTGAGAAAGCATGAAAATTCACACATCAAAAAAATATTTGATAATTGATCATTGCGGAAAAAATGAAATAACCTCAATTGGACTAGCAGCAGATGCATCCAAATGTAAGTAAAGATTGTGGAGTAAGGTCCGTAATTTCTTATGAGAATTCTTATTTGGTTCTATCAGAGCTGCTTGGAAATTGACAGGCAGACCGTATCTTAAAAAATCTAAAAATCAGAATTAAAAAAGATCAAAAAAGAACCATCTTTCAAAACCATCCTAGAAAAAATATTACGTCAAAAATTTCAGATGAGTAAATGTCTTTTACTGAAATTAAATCGACTTTTGAAAACTAGAAAAACTAAGCAAAAACAAATTTTATAACTGTAGCTCAATTACATTTCCCCAATGAAATATCATTGAATTCCAGCAAAAATGTACAATAAAATGCGCACGCACAATTTTCACAAGATTAACCTCAAGACACTTTCGACAAACAATCGTAACGCTTTAACATGAACGAAAGCTGAGAAGATTTCACCAAAATTGATTTTCAGCCATCTGACAAGTGGAGCATATTGACGTTGCTTTTCTTGCACTAATTTATCACGCTCATTACGGCCCACTTTTAGCGACTCCTCATCATAAACGAAATCTCGCACGATAAACCTTGAAAGAATATGAATACATAAGCTATTAACAATATTTTTCTTTCACTAATTAAAAAAATTGACCTCCATCCGCTAGCAAAATCTTAAGTTGACCTAATTCAACAATAAAAATGTTTAAAAAAAAGAAAAAAAGAGCCTGTACTTGTTTAAACCATTCATTTTATTTTCTTTAACTCACTTATTTTCTCTGCAGTGAGTTTTGTACTCATCAATCACTTTTTTGAATAACGTAACAGAAAACAATATCTGATCACTATCTTCGGTGATTAAATGACTTGATCCAGGAACGACCATGTCAGATAAGGTTTCATACTTCTGCTGCCATTCTTTTGCTAATGTCCTGTTGGAAAACAATAATGAATAACAAGTTCTTCAACAAATAAAAATCAACTCAACTCAACTCAAGAATAAATAATGCAAATGATGTAAAACATAGATTGGCATGTTATTTAAGTCATTGCCTTTTTTCTGACCCAGCAAAAATCAAACATTATTAAAATAAGAAAATTTAAGCATACAGTAATATCCCAACAACTACTTAATCATTAAATGAAATTAATGGTAACAAAATCACGGGGAAAGTGAGCATAATTGAGGAAAATCTGATCAAAATTATTATAGATTCTATTTTAAAAGCAAATGCGATTATGAAAAACACTTTTACAACTACTTAATGAACTGTATAACTTACTTCGGCACGACAACCAACAACGTTTGCAAATATTCGGAATTGAGGATGAAATCATCGGCTTTTACGATTTCTGACAAATCTTTCGTTAATAAGCTACCCCTGAATAGACGCCTTAGTGTTGAAAGTAAAAAGTGAGAAAATGATAAAATGGAAGACTGCTGTACTAATTTCATCTGACCAAAACAATCACTGTTTTTTGTACACATTTTCAGTAAACAAGATGTGTTCTACATTATAAAGTATTAACATAGAATGTCAACAAAAAAAATGCATAAATAAACCTCTTCTCATAAACTGAACACTAAAAATTGAACTGGGTTGTAACTTACGTCGCTCTTCGATCTATAGATGCTAGACTATTTTTGAGGTTGTTATAAGTAGAAGATTTGGTTTTTAAATCATTATCAATTTGAGTGATTTGCTGAAAAGTGCATCATAATTAAACAAGATCCATCTGAACATCTCATCCAATCCAACAACATCAAATTTTTATGCAAAACAACAATAAATTTGGATCATACCTTGCCAATAATATCACTGAGAACTTTTAGAGATTGCTTCAAAGGATATTTAGCTCCTTCCCACTGGAATTTGGTGACAAATGTTTTCAGATCTTCTAAAATAAGGAAAAACAATGTACTGTGAAGCAAAACAAATTACCAAAACTGAACTGAAATACGAACAATGCATAAACAAATGACTAGAAGGCTGTTAATACTACTGCGTTAAATAAAAGTAATCATTTCACGGTAGCAACAAGTTATGGATGAGAAAGCTGGGACTTACTACCACCCACGACAAGATTTTCTTGCAGCTTGTCCCGTTCGTCTTCCAAAACATCAGCAAAGTACTGAACCAATTTTCGTGTCACTCTAAAATGAAAACATTGGAGCTGGTAGAACATCCAAAGTATGGAACCAAACATGATAAAACCTTATCGAAATCAAATATATCACATGCATACTGTTCAGCAGCCGCATCCAATTTCGCTAAATCATCAGATAAACCAACCAACTGATCCAAAGTTCCTACCTGTAACCACGCTTCGTGTTTAAATTGAAAACTAATTCTCACTTTTTAAGATTAAATCTAGAGAAATGACCATAATTCTGATATACAATTCCCTTGCCCTTCACGTTCTTCAAAGCAATAGTAGAAACATTAACGACAATCTTCTTTTTTAGAATTGTAAAGTTGCAGAATTGCGAAGCGTTTAATTTAGTTTGGAGCTTTTTGGACTTTCAATTTACAGCACGCTCAGTTTCTTGAGTAGAAGTATCAGCGACATATGAAATCTCAGTATTTTTTTTTTTTTGAATGATACATAAATTACTTGAATAGATATGATTAAAAGAAGACTTGCTTTGAGATCAGGAACACTGAACTTGTAATTGCAGGACATATTACCAGTAGTTCGGTTCAATTTATCCCATGTTTCTTGCGGAGAACCTTCATTTGGTGCCGAAATCAGCCACAAATCACCCAAAGTAAATGACATGGATGCAACGCTCAGCAAGAACACAATTTCTAAAAATTTGAGAATCAGAAAAGCAAGAAAATTTAATTCCAGCAGAATCAAGAGAATAAATTCGGAAAGACCTGCAGACAAACTATGAGATTTCAAAACCCTCTCCACCCCACATTATCGCTACACAACTAGCTTCTCCTGCTATCGTTCACAATGCATTTTATTGAATATTCAGTCCCGTTGTTATCCAAGAACAATAATCAAAGACTAAATACGGTGCCAGGGAATCGTTTTAGAAATCGTATGAAATTGTTTGACATCTCAAAAGCCCAAAATGCTCTTCACATTCTAAGTATCAGGCTTCTGACCCATCATACCAAACTGTGCAATGAACGAGGAACACTAGCATTCCGGCCTATTTCACCATCCTCTTTGAAACTACCTGAGATCTACGGCACTTGCGTCCCACTTCACTATGTAAATTGCATCTGAGAATGTACGAACTGACTCCGAGATGTTTCAGAACATTTATTCAGGAAGATTGCGTCGCATTTGCATAAAATGTGTAGAACATCACCTCCATTGATTCCCACACATCAATTCTTACAAAGCGAAGTTACATTGTATGTTCGCTTATGCATGCAAATTCAATGCTGCTTCCACAAACTTGTGATTCCAGTTTTTTTTTTTGATTTGACAATAATTTTTTACAGACACTTTTTTAAATTGCTTGTAACGCACACAAAAAACGCACAACAAAGGCATTACATACTTCCTCCAACAACAAAACAAATTGAATTCTAAAAATGCCAAAGCAAAACTCCATAATTAAACTGATAAAAGTTTCATATTGCCGTGAAAAAGTCAGGAAATGAAAATGATGCGAAAACATATGCTAAAAAACCTTGAGGAACTGGTGAATTAAAAATACTGTTGAGTATTTTTCAAAAGCAAAAAAAAAACAAGTATGATCTTCTATATTGCATGAAGCATTGCAATGACATGTTCTGGAGCAAATTAGTACCATAACACCTTAATCTTCAAATCTGATCTTTTTATTTTGAGGTGCATCTGAGTGCCATCCAGCATCACGTTTGTAACCAAAATCTTTCCCACCTCCTCCTTAAAATCACATTTAAGTGATAATACATATTTCAATACATATGATAAGCTCCACTACAGGAAAAAACCATTAGATTTTCAAACATCTTGATTTCATCCTTTAACAACATTCATACAGACTTACCTCTTCCTCGAAAATTACCGCTATCTTTTCCCCCAAAGCCAGCACCTCGACTGCTACTCCCACTATATCTAAAACTTCCACGACTGCCACCTCTAAAGCCGCTCTTCTCGCTGCCACCTCTAAAGCCACTCTTCTCGCTGCCACCTCTAAAGCCGCTCCTCTCGCTGCCACCACCTCGACTGTATCCACCTCTCCCTCCTTCAAACAAACTTTTGCGAAAGGTTGATGAGAAAAAGTACATCTTACATGGAACAATGGTCAAGGTCATATTTGTTTGAACAATGGTTAAACCTCAAAGTTTCAAGAATTAAAAATCAACCTCGAAATGCTCCTCGACTATTACCACCACGACCACCTGAAATTTATGCACATTACGCAGCATTATCTAAAAACTGATAGGAATAAAACCACATCAATTATTTTTAGCATCAAATATACCATGAAATATAAAATGCAGTCTGAACTGACCTCTCATATTACCTCGAATCTGCTCTTTTCCACGCTTTTTTGATCCAGAATCCGATAAAAATCGATTAATAGGTAAAAGTCTTCCTGGATCAATGTACAATTTCTGCTTCTCGTTGAATGAATTTGCCTTAACACCCTCTTGAAGTTTAACGGTGAATCCCTTAAAAGCATGACCTTGAATATAATCCACGAATTAAAGGCTATATTTATTAAGAGAGGTTTCATATATATATTTTTTTGATTTGGCGACACTGTTACAAACTATATAGGTTACAGCTACATAAATATCAAAAAACAATTCCACCAATGACAGCTCACCTAATTATGTCTTCTTATCCCTACATAAGTTTCAAGTTTATAAAGCTACATTCATTTTGCTACTTAAACCTACGTTAACTATCTATTAAATGTTCCTGTTATTTGATCATCCTCAGTAGTAACAATATGCCATTTCAACCATGTTTTATAGAGCACAGTTTTGTAACTAAAATGAACAACAAACATTTTCTACAATACCACCAAAGATCTCATCAACTTTGCCAATTTCTTCCTTATTATCAAAAAATATGCCAGCGTTAAAATACGGGATTTTGCCACTTGTGTTACGACAAACGATAACATCTTCGCACGGATGTGTGAAATACCCTACTTCTGCAATGACTTTGTCATGAAACAGGGAAAATGAATGACAGATGAAAGAAACTGACATAAATAATCAATCATATCACTACCTCGACTTCATAAATAATGCCTTCCAGAATTAACAAACTTGCTTCCACTAACCTCTCAACTCCAAATTTGTAAGAAATACTAGCAGGATACTGAATAAAGCTTTGAAACATTGAAATAAATATTACCACTGCTAAGAACAATATATTTTCAAGTCAAGAATTTATTAACAACAGTAATATAACAAATAATTACAAACCTATGACTTCTTCTGGGGGACCTTGATTATATCCACTACCTCGACTTCTTTTGAAGCCTCTATGATTATGGTTACCACCACCTCTGCCACGAAATCCCATGCTTTGAATCTATGCACAGCTACTGAAAAGATAATAATACAACATGCAAAGGTGAACTGACAAAATTTGAAGATATTCAACAATTTCTAATAGAACCTACTAAAAACGAGTACAATAGTAATTTGCGTCCAGCATACCTCTTTTGAGGCAAATGAATATCAGTCACGAATTACTTGCACTTGGAACTATCATTTTGCAGAAAAAATTATGAAAAATGAGAAATGTCACTGGGAAGAAAGCAACGCCGTTATTACTAATGGATGACAATTTTGGGCTTAAATTGTAGCAATTTATTAGATAAGCTTAACCTACCAACAAAAAGAAAGCCTTTCAAAACTAGCGAGTGGCACACGCAATGTTAAAAATGGATATATCGCCTCATTATCCTCCTTCCCAATTTACGGTATGTTTTTTTCTTCTTCATCTCATTTCTCTCAGTAAATCTCTGCATATATAAAACAGTCATATGGACTGTAACTCCATGAAGTCACGCTATGACTTTCTTCGTTCCAACAGTAGTAGCAATAATAATAGCAGTAATATTAGCGGTAGTGGTATTAGCAGTTGTAGTAGTGGTAGTAGTAGTAACAGTAGTAGAAGTAGTAGTAGTACTACTACTACTAATAATAATAATAATAATAATAATAATAATAGTAATGTTTAGTAATGATAAGTTGATAAAGAAGGATTACATAGTTCGTATTGCGAAGTGCATGTAGTTGGTCTATATCGACGTGCATCACTTTGCATTTCAGAGGTAATCGCTGCCATTTAGGTTTTTAGCAGCTTCAAAGTTAACTCTGCACTATTAGCAGTTTGAAATATACGTGGGATGTATGCTTGTGGAAATGTTTGACTGAAAGAAGGCAACCGGATAAATGTTTATGTGAGTTTTTTATTTGAGCATTTCACACGCAAACTGAAGAATGGTACTGTGCACCTGATATTGACAGATAGCTAATTCCGTGGTTTTTCGCGTATTCAATATTTGGTTGCTTCTGCCTTGCGAGGAGTGATTAAATTAGTACAGAAAAAAAGTGAGTGAGGCGCTTATGCGAGCCTCAAAATGGCGTCTAGTTCGCAGCTTCCTGCCGCACCGAAAAATTTACCAACGAAGCCGCAGGAAACTGAATCAGATTACATTGTAAATAACTTTCAAGCTGGGGGGGCGGACAACAAACCTAAGCGGAACAAACCACTTGGTGAGTATATTGCTTCTCATCTTCTTCACTTCTCAACTTGTAAACTTGAGCAGCATTTCTGCGTCACTCTCTCTTCCAATGTATCGTCTGAACGTTTATGTTTCGTGCATTTACATCTATTTCGCCTCTTCACACTTGTATTTTTGTCTCGTCACTTTGAGTGTATCCTACCATCACTCTGGTAATAATTAGAACCATATCCATTTGGTTCTTAGGAGTAACGGCATCAGATCTTACTTTACTTAATCTCGCCTAAACATTGCTAACAATCATTATTCATATTTGACGAGTGTTTCAAGCATCATTATGTAACTTGTATAACTCCCTGCGTTTTACGTTGCTATTTTTGTAGTAAAAAATTTGTCTTTTAAGCTATTATTCCATCACGAAGATAATATCGAAATGCAAACATTAGTTGCGAATTTTTTTTTAAAGATAATGTAGCTGCATTCAAGCTTGAAAGAGTTGGATGTATTGTACGAATTTTTCATTCCATATTGACATTATGAATTCGAATAATCTTCAGATACTAAACTCCGACAGCAGAAGTTACCAGCATGGCAGCCTATACTAACTGCTTCCACAGTAATACCGACAGTTTTTGGAATTGGAATTGTTTTTCTGCCCATTGGGATTGCATTATTTATCGCGAGTCAAGGAGGCAAATTTTGAAATAAGATTTTTTATTTTTGGCAATCGTTTTTTTAAATTTATGTAATGTAGATTTAGATCGTGAAGATATTAAATAATTTTAAATGATGAATGGTTATAGTGAAGGAGTCTACTACTGATTATACTTCATGTCCTACGCCATCTCAAGAAGTCTGCAAGTTTGTGATAAAATTGGAAAGCGATTTCGAGGTTCTTGATTGTGGTCGTATTTGATTGCTTTTCGATTTAAAAATTTGTTTTAATCATTGAAATTTTATTTTATTTCCACATGCAAGCCATTATTAAATTCTAATACCAAAAAACTATTAATATTACTGTTGATGCAGTTCGTATAGGCATTATAGGGTGATGTTTATTTTTACTATGCGTTAGACAATTATTTTCAAAATCATCGGCGATATATGAAAAGTCGTAGTGATAGCCAACTTCTCGGTGATCTTCAAGTGAGATTTTGATTTTTTTGATATCATGTAGCACATTTAATAAAAACTAGTTCGTTCTTTTCAAATTTTCAATTTGTAATCAATCAATATTCATTTTAAAGTGCATGATTTAACGAACAGAAATTGTTTGCAAAATGTTGCCAGAAATTGTTTTCAGAATGTGGCTGATTGTACACCATATGCCTATATGAATACGTCATTAGGCCTCAAAGTTATTGCTCCATGTGGTGCAGTTGCTAATTCTATGTTTAATGGTTTGATATAGATTATTTTATTTCACATTGGAGTGAGAAATAACTTTCTAGTATGTTTTCGCTAGAATTTTCTAGATACGTTTTCACTGTATCGTAATGAAAGTGCAGATCCGGTGCCTTGGACATACAGAGGTGTTGTTTGGGATGTAGACAAAAATAAAAGGTATAGAAACCCACCTGGAAAAAACCTCAAACAAGCTTTTGCGGTATATTTTTTGTACAGTCAGATGAATACTAAACTTCTGAAAAGTATAATTTCTTGGCGAGATTTGAAGTTTCAGTATTCCCTACCTTTTTTGTGCTTCTAACTTATTATGTTAGTTTGCAAAATTTCAGAAAACCGTAAAACCACCTAACTGGCAGAAGGCAATATACGAGTTAGATCCTTATGACTCTGACAATAATGGGTTTTTGAATACAGACTTTATAATATGGATGAGGACAGCAGCTCTACCTGACTTTAGGAAGCTATATCGTATTTTAGTTCGTAATAAGGACAAAGTTTACGAAAATGGTTTACCTTCTGGAACTTACCATCTTATTGTCAAAAGTAGTAAGTATTTTCTGGATATAAGTTGTCGATTGTATTGATAGCACAGATTATCAAGTTTTTTTTTTTTTACGCGTTAATATTAATTCCTGTTATTTTAAATATTCAGTCACCGCCGATAATTTCACATCCTAAAATTTTGAGCACTGATGTGCAAAAAACTTTGAATAGTGTACAAGAAATTGTTGTTTCCTATCTTCTGCAAACTGTTGCAGTCAATATTTTATTTTATTAATCGTGCTTCAAAAGCATATGAATCATCAGATTTAAGTGACTAAATAATGTTTCAGATTATCCGGTGACAGTATTTGGCGGTCGTAAGTATTTTATCATTAGCACGACATCGTGGGCAGGTGGTAAGAACTCATTTTTGGGCATTACATACATTATTGTTGGTAGTATATGTATCGCGTTAGGTGCAATTTTCTTGCTGATACATCTCAAATTCGGCACATTGTAAGTGGTTTAGTTTTTCGTCCGGAAGATTTCTTTATTTTTTGAACATGAAATGCAAGTCAAAAGTATCAAAGCATAAGTCATATTTTTTTGCTAAGATCGTTGCATTGCTCTATGCATCGCTCTTATAGGTCACTTACTGCTGAGTGCATGCAAGAACCAGAAAGCACTCATTAACCTCAGTGTTCACACGTATTCTACTGTACTAAGAACAAATTCGGTGTTATCATCATGTTAGCTTCTGAAGGTTGTGTGCAATATTTTCGGTGACGAAATTTTGCTTCCATACTGGAGTATATCCTGAAACTGAATTATGTTGTACTGATCTATCTTGTGATCAACTTTTTTCCACCTTATCTATTTTATGTTTTATCTTCTTTTTTTGTGACAGCGGGTAATTGTGAAGCAATAATTTCAAAGGACATTTTGTAATATATATTTTAAATGTATAGTTGTACCTTTTTTTTATCGATAAGCTTTTGTTTTCTCAAGTGATAAGTTTCAATTTTTGATTATTTCATTACTGTCAGTGGTGGTCAGTCATTTTTATTCAACGAAAATTGCTAAAGTTTCTTGCATGAAATAAAATAGCCGAAATTGATATCCATTGTGTTTTCGAATCATTTATACAATTCCCATGTTATCCCATCCGATTTCTTATATGTTATATCTGACAATACAATTGAGTGCGATTAGATTATACAGTTATTTTCAAATTCCTGGCATCATTTTCGCAAAATGTACTCATCTATTACAAACTGTATACCGAAGATGGTATTTGGATTAAATGTGTAGGGATATTTTAGAGATCAAGCCAAACAGAACTTCTGAGCACGTTTTTGGGACACTCTTTTCCTGCAGGAAAATTAATGTTTTAAAGTGTAAAATCAGGAGCAATTTTGGCTTGGTCATATATCATTTAAATAGTAGTTATTTTAGATGGGGATGGCAGTAAATATAGATTCGGCATGAGATACTAAGGGAACTATTACGAATATTACTGCCTGTCCAATATATCCAATATTTTGGTCATTGAAATTGGGATGCAGATGCAGAGTTCTTGTAATTCGTTTCATGTGTCATTTACAAGGGCATTAGGTATATGGCAGAGCAGAGAAAGTCCAATGCAAAGCTGTGTCATTTCGGATATAAAGTTTTTTACTTTTATCGAAATGAATAATACAGGAAAGAACACAAGAAGGTTTCAAAAGTACTTTTGGTCATAGTCGATTACTCTGAAGTAGTCGAAAGGCTGATATGTGTAGAAAAATCAGGGAAGGTTCGACTCAAAAGTATAAAAGTCCTACTGAGATTGCTAATGACATAAGATATGTAGTTTTTTTGTTCTAGCTATTCCCAACTTTGGCTAGATATAAGTGTCATTCATTTTCGTAGCCTAATTATTTAAGGAAATCCCAGATCGTGGCACTGCTAAATTATTTACGGAATATTTTGATTTACCTTCTTATACCATCAAACTCTACAATATAAAACGCGTTTGTTAGAAATACAGTTTAACAAATAATAATGATTATGCAACAAATATTTAAAAAAATATTGAGTACCAAAGACGTAGCAATCTTACAGTGTTACTTACGGTCACAAGAAACATTTGATGCAAACCTAAAACGATAATAAATATCTGATAAGAGTCAACGTCTAGAAAATTTGGCACGGAGCTTCTTGAAAAGAATAGTTGTTCACCTATATCTCATTCAGTAAAAATAACTTTCAATCAAGCAAAAAGTTGCTATAGCACGCTTCTCGAAGTAGTCCACAACAATTTCCAAAATCAGAGCGTTAAAAATAACCGATATATCTCACATCCAGAGCAGAGCGTATTAATTAATTTCATGACCTTCGAAATTAAAACTTATTTTACTGAGTCCAGTAGAACGTAAATATTTCAGTTGCAAGTCAGGTCCTTGTGGAAAAAAGACGTTACATACTTTGCTGTCGATCTCTATGTTTTACAACTACCACAGTTGGTAAAAGTGAAATAATAGTCCCATGAAACATATTACTAATGAAAAAGATAGTCGATGAGTGAGAAAAATGAAATAATCAGACAAATGTATTCAGAAATTCCGCACAAAGCCAGTTTCTAAATGACAAAAAATCTCTCGGATGAACTACCTCATTCGTAACTATATTCTGGAAATGACAAAATTTGCGCAAACTCATGCACTTTTTGATTATTATAATACTTTAGGCCCTGAGTATGATGGCAAAGTGAAATTCACAAAGTCTATTACTTTTGATGATAACAAACAACTGTCTGTTAACAAACAACTGTTTGTTATCATCAAAAGTAATAGACTTTGTGAACAAACAACTGTTTGTTATCATCAAAAAAAATTTACAGCGTTTTAATAGAAAATTCTTATCCACAGATTATTAGATCGAGACCCAACAATATAATAAATAAAAAGTTACAGATTTTTGGAGTCTTAAAATTTATTTCTTACAAATCCCATTGCAAAATGACACAACAAATATTCATGACTCAAAAAAATTGAAGCAACCTTCGGAAGTTCAGTTCGAGAATTCCCAAAAACTCATCGCCCCTTGTATCCTTCAGTCCATTACATAAGCTATTTGCACTAGAAAATTGCAAAAGAGAAGCAGTGATCAATCTCATTCCATTGATCGCCTCTCAAACCGAAGAACCCTGAAATTCTTACTGATGCGTTTCATTCAAACTTCGTGGGTGGTCTGTAACTTTGACGTGTTTCTGCAGAAAGGACCACACAGATTGTTTCTTCTGCAGTGGAAAGAAGTATGTCTTTTCTTGTCTGCACTATTTTTTCTTTTTACAGTCAGCTAACACAGAACATATGTTAGAGTATAGATTAAAAAGATGACTGAGGTAAAGGTTGCTTGGTACTACCGCACATTTCGGCTTTTGTGGTTGGATTCTCGAAAACGCTTTGATAATACTTCACATTAGTTGCTGTCATCCGATTAACAACATCACACTTTCCTCCACAGCAAACTACAAAATTAAAAATGGTTATAAGTAGTACTATCGTTAAATAGCACTGATAGTCTGATAGTCATAAGATCATACATTCCTTTGATAATTGTATGTGAAATATTTAAAATAGGAAAAAACAGTGCAGGAAAGTGACAGTAAGGAACGAAAATCTCACGTTTTGATTATTCTTACACTAATTATTTTCAAGAGTTTAGCAACATTAGCAGTCATTGAGAAAATCGAAGTTTGGAATCAATTCTTCAGCGACTTTTGTTGAATGCATTGATATTAAACATAAAAAATTTAACCTTCATCGTGTTTTAATTGTATAGAAAAGAAAAATATGAAGACTAATATTCGTTGGTGGTTTAATGAATCTGGCCCTCGTATTCCGGGAATCTGGCTGTACTTGTACTGCGCTTATATTTGTTGATCTTTTTTGCTTCATCCTCATGGGATCCATAGCAGTCATCGAATGGGATGATTTCGAGCGTCTTCTTAAGCACTGTCGATTGGATATATGCTTCGACGTAATCAGATATACTGATCTCATTTGCGTAGCGTTTATGGAAATTCTTTACAATGCCATCCATCCCAAGTCATCACATACAGAGCTTTTTTACGTCTTGCATTTCACCTCTGACCCGAGTTCATTGATCGGTAGATCATATTTTCGCTTATTCTCGGTCTTGACTGTTGTCAGTCTGTCGTGACTAGCAATGCCAACCTCTATGTAAATTCTCATTCGAATTAATAATGTGGGACTGCCTTTTTTTTACATACAAGAGTCGTTATAATCTCATTATAAAATGAGCTTCAAGTGCTCATGAAACACTTCTCGAAGGAATTTCAATGGAAACGTGCTCCTAAGAATAGCTTGTGTTACAAACTACCGTAAATTTTAAATAAATAATGTTTATGAAAATTTCACCTTCTCTCGACAGCGGTGGTGTATTGTTTTGAATTCTGTTCCTAAATATATTATATTTGAATATTTTAACCAAAACAATTATTTATTTTTTGAGAAATTAGAAATAAAACAAAATATATGAGCGCAAAATATTGAATAATTTGTTATCAGGAAGCAAATTTTAGTCCTTTTGAATCGATGGTTACTTTTCCAATGCTTCTTACATTTGCAGACTCCTTTTTCATAAAAAGGATTGATTGTTAAAGTCTTAAAATCCAGCTTCAAATAAAATTTTAACGGTTACAACCGTTCCAAAGTTAACTGAGCAACAATAATCTTTTTGATTAAATTGTGCAGAGTATTTCCGAGAGAGAAAAAATATAAGTTATCTGGTAGATTCGACGATTATTGATTCCATCGTTGGAAAGTTTATACAGAAAATCAGAAGTCTAAATAACATTTTCTGGTAATTAAAGTCTATCAACGTTGTCTCCCTGATAAAACTGACCTCATGATATCTGCTGAAAAATATTGCTATAAAAATCAGTCTTTCATTTTCACGCTTCTTAAATTGATGTTTATAAATTTGATTTTCTGTTTTTACTATCTAAAGATGAGTGAAGATTCTCAATTCTAAAAATATACTCTTAAAATATCCTCTTTTTAAAAGTTATAATTCCTAAAAGACATCTTGAATTTGAAAAAGAAAGAAGCATACTCAAATGACTTTTTTTACTTCAACCTGAGAAAAATTTATTGTTATATTCTAATGATGCAAAGGTTGATAAATTGAACTCAAGGATTTCTAAAGGAACCTTATAACCACCTTGAGTATGGCAAAGATTTGTATTTAATAACTTTTAAAGATCTAATTTAGACTGAAACTCTGAAACTCTGCAAAGTCAGAATCTAGTTTCAGAATGAGTTTTATTGTAATCAGTAATCCAAAATAATCAAATAGGTTTTGTACTAATATTTCATATTGGTTTTAATTTATGACTATGTGAGGAAGAATGACTAATTTAGAATTTATTTAATCTAAAAAAATTGGAAGTTCTCGCTTCATATTGGTGTTTATCAATATTTCAGACTTTAGGTAATGATAAATGACTGATTT